AGCTAGTTCCAGGACAGCCTCCTAAGCCACAGAGAAACCCTGTCTGGGAAAAAAAAAAAAAAAAAGAAATAACAGAGATCCATCTGCCTCTGTCTCCTGAGTGCTGGGATTAAAGTTGTGGCCACCACTGCCTGACCTCTATGGCCAACTATTGTGGCTAGTTTTGCACTCTGATCTCCAGGCAAGCTTTATCTGTTAGATCATCAACAGAGTATCACCACAATAGCTAGCATAATACTTGTGGAAAAGCATGCCTACAGATTACAGCCTTGTTGCTGCAGCGGCCCGTGTCTGCCACCTTCGAGTGATTCTGTTCCTGGTTCAGCTCCTTATCTAGTCACAGTTTTTTGGTTTGTTTGTTTGTTTGTTTTCTTGTTTTTTAACCTGCAGTTAGTTGACCCTAACTTCCACTTCTGGAAGGTCTGAGCCATTGATGGGTTCGTAAAGTTTATAGTCTTGACACCAAACATGGAAATACTATAAGATGCTCCTCCTCTCCATTTACTGAGCCAGTGGCACAAAGAGCTACAAACATCCTCATGGCTATCTTAATGTCCAGTTCAACAGAATCATTGTTCCTCCTAGAGGAAGACGTCTAAAATAACAGAGTCAAGGTGAGTGCCTTTAATCCTAGTGCTATGAGAGGCAGAGGTAGGAGGATTTCTGTGAGTTCAAGGCTAGCCTGGTCTATGTAGTGAGTTCCAGGACAACCAGGACTACATAATAATAATAAACACATGGCTAAATAGATAAATAAAAATTATAGTGATAAAATTTTGAAATGAGGCTAATCTCATATTACTAATCCCACGACCCTTAATTGCATGTCCTTTCTAAATTGAAAAATGTTAGTACATTTTTATTTATTGGTGTATGTGTGTGTGTGTGCACATGAGTGTACACACATGTATGTGGAGGTCAGAAGACAACTTGTAGGAGTCAGTTCTCGCTTTCCACCATGTGAGTCCTAAGGATTGAAGTCAGGCGGTCAGGTTTGGTGGTAAACACCCTTACCTGCTCACCCTTCTCATCACCCCTTCCTCTGAGTTTTTTGAAATAGATTCTCCCTCTGTGGTCCAGACTGGCTTGGAACTCACAAAGACCCACCAGCCTCTGTCTGCCAGTGCTGGGACTAAAGCTGTGGAACTTTCTTTTTTAAATAGAAATTTATTTTTTTAAGTGTGTGTGCTATGGAATTAGTGTGCCGACCAGAGGACTCTTGGGAGTTAGCTCTTTCTTGACACATTATGGGATCCCAGGATTAGACACTCAGGTTGTCAGGCCTACAGGCAAGCACCCCTGCAAAGGCATCCCATGGGCCACATTTACTTTTTATTGTATTTGATTTTTGAAAGTTATTTATTATAACACAGGTGCTTTGTCTGCATGTATGCCTGTAGAACATGGATTCCTCATATGGAAGCAGGAAGAGGGACCTTGATCCCCTGGAACAGAGGTCACAGAGAGCTGTGAGCTTCCCTGTGAGTGCTGGGAATCAAACCCAGGTCCTCTGGAAGGGTAGCCAGTGAGTGTTCTTAACCACTGAGCCATTGTTCCAGCCCTATATTTCATTTTAAAATTTAACTTTCATCCTTTTTTGCTTTTTTTCTCAGCTGTCTCCATGAGATGAGTTTTCTATCAGCAGTAGGTTATGAATAATTCACATTTTTCTGGAAATTGATGATGAATAGAGAAAAGCTGTTTCCATCTCCTCAGACTACCAGGTCAAGGTCAAGAGGTCACCCTGGAGCACAAAGGATAGAGTGCAGCCCCAGGGCTATATGGTGGATGGAGTGAGAATGAGCTCTAAAGGCTCACACATTTCAGTGCTTGGTCTCCAGTTGGTAGGATTAGAAGGTGTGGCCTTGCTGGAGGAGGTGTGTAGCTTGAAGTGGGTTTTGAGATTTCAGTTAGTTCTCTCTCTCTCTCTCTCTGCCTAGCACTTGTGCTTTAGATGTAAACTCTCAACTACTGCTCCATCGTCATGCCTGCTTGGTGTCTTGAGTGATGGAACTAAAGGCAATGTGTGTGTGTGTGTGTGTGTGTGTGTGTGTGTGTGTGTTTTGAGACAGGGTTTCTGGGTTTCTCTGTAGCTCTGGAGCCTGTTCTAGAACTCACTTTGTAGACCAGGCTGGCCTTGAACTCACAGAGATTCGCCTGCCTCTGCCTCTCTAGCAAAAATATGTTTTTTAAAAAAGTGTCTACTTGTAACATATATAAAATGTATTCTATATTATATATCATACACACACATAAATGTTACCATGCATATACACAATCTATACATGTGTTATTGCCTCCTGCATGCTAGGACTAAATGATGACAACAGGAGACAGAAACTGGCTACTTAGTTCAGGGTAGAAAGACTCCACAGAAAAGTAACCAGTTTATTTATAAATTAAAGCCAGATATATCTTTGGACCTCTTGTTCCCATGCATGCTTAATATATACACAATGTCATATAATGACATAATGTATTTACATATATTTACATATATGACATTATATAAAATCAGATTAAGGATTCATTTTATTTATTCTGGGAAGTTAGGCTGTGTTTAGTTTTCTATGGGTAAAAATGACAAGTACTTCAATTTCTTCAAGTGATCTTGTTTTTTATTGCTTTTGATATTCTAAAAGGTTTTCTTCATATTCTTTAAGAGAGTCTGTCCAGAATATCCAACAGCTGCCATTATGGAGTCTTACTGGACTTGGGTAATTGGGGGGGAGGGGGCAGTGATAGTTCTATAGTGTTCTGATCACATCTGCGTCTTCACAGGCCTTGGTCTTGTGCTGTGACCTTTCTCCATATTTCTGTGTGATACGTGTCTATTTCTACTCTCCTCTTCCTCTCTCCCTGGCTGCAAGAGTTGCCTGTTGGTTTTACCTCAAGTACTTACCCTGTTGATCATGTCCTTTTATTCTGCTATGCCTGGAGAAGACTGGGAAGAAGGGAATTCCATTCCTCCCATTCCTCCACTTGAGTAAATTCTAGTAAAGTCCTTTCTTTGGGAGGGTAGGCTTTTTTTTTTTTTTTTTTTTTTTTTTTGGTTTTACGAGACAGGGTTTCTCTGATTTGGAGGCTGTCGGTCCAGCCTGGCCTCGAACTCACAGAGATCCGCCTGCCTCTGCCTCCCGAGTGCGGGGATTAAAGGCGTGCACCACCACCGCCCGGCTGGGAGAGTAGGCTTTTGTTATGAAGAAAGTTCTCAGCAAACTGGGTGTGGTGATGCAGGGCTGTGATTCGAATGTTTGACTGGTGTAGGCAGGAGGATCAGGAGTTCCAGGTCAGTCTTTAGGACAGCCTGGGTTACATGACCCCCTACACCAAAAGGACAACAACCAAGGAGGGGGAGGGAAGAAAGAGAGAGGAGAGAAGGAAGGATAGAAGAAAAGAAAAAGAAGAGAGGGGAGGGAAAAGAGGAAGTAGGGAAGAAAAGGAAGAGAGGAGAGGGAAAAGCAAGAAACAGAGGGAAATGGAGGAGTAGCAGGTCCAAGCATGCTGCGCCGGTTCACGCATGGTTCTCTTGTTTTCTCCAGTTTATCAAGTCTTCAACCCGACTGGTCCTTGGAAGTTACGCCCTTCACCCCAAGATCACACTCTTCAAAGAAGACCAGCAAGTCACCAAGCGTATCTTTATACATTCTTACGTGTTTGTACCTCCAAAACTTTCTATTTCAGCTAAATTAATCTTGTTGAATTTCTCTGTATTGACCTTTTCTCTGTAGAAATTGAAGAGTATTTTTCTCTGTTTGCTGTGTGTGTGTGTACATGTAATTGGTTTTTCAATTACCAAGATTGATCATCCAGTAAAGGCACTTGCTATGCAAGCCTGACAAGTTCCATCCCTGTGAGAACAAAGTAGAGAATTGTCTCCAGAAAGCTGCCCTCTGCCCTCCCTACATGTGCTGTGACACATGGATGCACACACACACACACACACACACACACACACACACACACACAGTCTTTTTGAGGCAGGGCATCATCACTATGTTCACTGTGGGATGGCCTGGAACTCATAGAAGTCCCCCTGCCTTTGCCTCCTGAGTGCTGGGACTAAATGATGACAGCAGGAAATTGGGATCTCAGTCAGACTGAAAAGATTCCAAGGAAAAGTAGCCAGTTTTTTTTTTCTAAGCTAAAGCCAGAAATATCTTTGGGCCTCTAGGCAGGCTTACCTTTGCCGGAGGCCAGCAATGCTGAAAATATTTGGGGGCTCTGGATGCTTATCTGATTCCTAAATGAAAGGTTAGAGTAGAAAAGCCCCTGGTCCTTAAAACGGAGGAATCTCTGTCCTGGGTGGAGACCTAACATTCCAGTTGGTTCAGTTTGGCTGAGGACCATCTCTGGGAAGGTGTAGTCACCTTAAGCTATGCTATGCTATGCTAAAGAGATAAGCGAATAATTGGTCCTTTAAAGACACACTGGACTTCCTTTCACACCCTGGGCTCCCTTACTCTCTCTCTAAAATGTCCTCCCTGCCAAGTGACTGCTTGTCAGTCCCGTGTCTGATTTCCACGCCAGCTTAGACTGTGTGCCTCTTCCCTCTTCTTCTCCATCCTCCTCCAGGAGCTTGCCTGACCTGAGGTCTACTCTCGAAGAACACTGCCTTGGTGCTTCCACTTGGCTCCATCCTCATGTTTTTGGTTATGAGCCTTTTACTGTTGAGCCGTCTCTCCAGCACTACACTCCATTCTTAAATTTCTCCATTAATGGCACTAGGAACCCCAAGAGCAGCCCAATTTCCCTCACGTAAAGACGTGTGCCACCACAGCAGGCAATTCTTTAAAGCCTATTTTTATTTTATGTGTATAGGTGTTTGCCTGCCTGTATGTCTGGTGCTGTGTGAGGCCAGAAAAGGGCACCAGATCCTTTGTAACTGGAGTTATAGAGGATTGTGGGTGCTGGGCATCAAACCTGGGTCGTCCGGAAGAGCAGTCAGTGTGTTAGCTGCTAAGCCTTAGCTCCAGCCCCCAGTTTAAAAAAAAAATAATGTGCTCATGTCAGGACATAGACTAAAATTTGGAAGATACAGAGGTTAGTTAGCATAGTCTCTGTGCAAGGATGATATGCAAATTCACGAAGCATTCTGTAGTTTGGTACCTACGAGTACTCTGACATCACAAGTTCTGTGATGCTGCCCTATACTGTCACCTTAGAGGTCAGCTGTTACATCTCTGCTGCTGTTGTTTCACAAGGATTAATTAACTTATTAAAAAAAAGCATGCCTAGCCGGGCGTTGGTGGCGCACGCCTTTAATCCCAGCACTCGGGAGGCAGAGGCAGGCGGATCACTGTGAGTTCGAGACCAGCCTGGTCTACTGAGTGAGTTCCAGGACAGCCTCCAAAGCCACAGAGAAACCCTGTCTCGAAAAACCAAAAAAAAAAAAAAAAAAAAAAAAAAGCATGCCTAGACTTATTGCAAGAATGAGTGTAATGACCTCATAACCCTTATAAACTGGAATTAAAACCATAAACCCTGGTCTCCATTGGTAAGCTGTCGTTCATAGCTCACTGTGGACTGTGGTCTGTTTCTGTGGATCTGTTTCTTTGTATCATCATAGAATCAGGTAACGTAATCCACCCACCCAGAGTCTAGAGTCTAGATAGTATACCTGTAACAGGATCCTTTTTCAAGATCTCTTCACCTAAGAGGAACTCATGAACTGGGTTGTAGTTCAAATAGGGTCTTTTTGCTAAACTTTTCAAGTTTTAGTTTACCAGATCAAGTAAAATGTTAGTGGGTTGTACAACCCTATAGACCATCTGGGTCACTGCCTGTTAAGCTCATGTTTCCCACCTTTCTGGTGGCCAGTGCTGCCACTGGCTTCTACCAGTGGGGTGGGGCTATTCCTACTTCATCAGTGGTATCTTACACTATCAGATGCCTCCAGAGGACAGCCAGTATATCACTTCCAACGCCACGGGTGTTCCTCTTACCCATGGATGTCCCAGAGCTGTGATGAAAGGCCTGTCTTCTGGAAGAATGAGATGCACATGAAACTTCTACTCTTATGTTCCTTTCTCATCAAAGCTTAGGATCCTTCCTTCTCAACTTCACCAACGATCAGGTATGTTAGCCCAATTTACAGGAGAGATCATTGTGTTGGCTTTCATCAACCAACTTAGCAGACCGAGGGCCACTCCTGTTTGAGCTTATGCATTGCCTTTTTTTTTTTTCTCGTTGCTGGGATGAAGTGCTCTGACAGAAGAAACTTAGGGGAGAAGAAAGGATTCCTTTGGCTCGCAGTTCCAGGTTACAAGGCACCATGGTGGTACAAAGCTTGAAGCCGCTGGTCACATGATGTCTATAGTCAGAAGAGAGCAATTAGATGCATGCATGGTGTGCTCAGCCAACTTGCTCCATTTTATACAGTCCAGGACACCAGCCCTGGGGACAGGAGCCACTCACAGTAGAAGGTTCTTTCCACCTCAATTAATCAAGACACCCCCTCCCCCAAACAAGCATGTCCAGCGATTCTAGACTCAGTTAAGTTGATTATTAATACTAGCCATCACATAACTGAATATATAATCTCTGGTGCTGCAAACATATCAGCAATTATAGTACATCAATTTTCACTTGCTCTAGAGTTCAATGTCAAGCAGAAATCCTGTCATGACAATACATATGAGAAACATCTTGCAATTCATTCCCTGTAGAAGCTTCTCATCTGGCATCAGGTGTCTTACCTTCCTGGAGTATGCTAAGACCTGACTTGGGTTCTAGGTCTGGAAGCTAAGAGATGTTGATAGGTTCTTGCAGGGCTAATGTCTTTATGGTGAACTTGATAGAGAACCTTCAAGGAAGGTATGGCCAGTCTGCTAACAAAGGAGGAACTGGTTCAGCAAGTCAGGGAGGCTCAGGGAAGAAAAAAATTAGGTTATGTGTGAGGCAAGGCCTCTACAGGCTAGTCTGTGCACAAATCCCCTATGTATCTGAGAATGACCTTGAACTCCTGAGCCTGATGTCTTTACCTCCCTAGTACTGTAGAATTTACTGTTCAGAATAATCACGTGCATCCCAAACTACTAAAATGCCAATGTTCAGATAGAAGACCAAGTAAAGTCAGCTTGCATGGAAATTTGACAATCTACAGGATCAAAGGCTGGGACTAAATGATTTGTTAAATAGTTTCTTCCTATAGCAACAGGAATAAAGAAATTCCTTCTGAGCATTGAAGTCTCTAGTTTTCCTACCCGCCATTTTAATCTACAAAGTTCGGGAGTCTTAGCCCTCCCTACAGGTCTTTCCATTGGAAAGGCCTAACTAACTTAGCTACTATCTGTTCTACCAAAGACTTACCCGTAACAGGCAAGACTGTTTCTTATGTCTTTCCTAAAACCCATCATTTTCTCCTTTCCCTGTGACTGTAAAGTCATCATCAAGTTTATGTATAAAGGTCAGGTAGCCCGCCCCAGGTTTCTGTCTTTGGGGGTCAGTTTCCTAAATATGCTTTCATGTCAGTATCTGCTTAGTTTTATCCAGGGAAACAAAATATATTCAGTAAACCAAGAGCATACTCAACTATTTCAAGTAAAGGATGATTTAATTCAGGAATGGGTGCATATCAAACCATTGCAGAGGAGAGGTAAAGGGAAGGAGAATGGAGAGGAGGAGGGAGGGAGGAAGGGAGGAAGGGAGGAAGGGAGATCCATTTACCCAATAAAGATAGGTGCTGGGGTACAGCTCACTGCTAGAATCCTTGCTAGCACGTTGGAGGTTCAGGGTTTGATCCCCATCATATTGTGTTTCAACGGGGTGGGGGCAGGAGAGATGACTCAGCAGTTGAGAGAGATCCCTGCTCTTATAGAATATCTGAGCACCTACATGGCAGCTCACAACCGCCTGCAACTCTACTTGCAGGGGATCATCGGATGCCCATTTGTGACTTCTGAAAGCATTAGCATATGATGAGAACACATACAAACATACGTGTGTTTGAGAGCTCACGCGTGTGCGCGCACTCACATGCACACACACAAACACAAACAAATGAATAAAAATAAAATACATCTTTATGAAAAAAGATTAAAGAGAGTCAATAAGAGGTTTTAGAGGCTGTGTTCTTTGCCCAGAATTCCATAACAGTTAAAGAACCTTCATTTGCACATAATGGTTCTCATGAGATGTGACACTAAAACCAATGAGTGGAGAGTAACTATTGGAGTCTTCCTTCTGTCTCAGTGGATTGATCCAAGAACTTCACGAATTTTAGGGCTGTCCACACTGTCCGTGCCAGTGGACCCATGCAGCATCCTGAATCCCACATCAGCATCCGGAACCCCATGTAAGAAGTGCAACTGGGGACCTCAGACTCCCTGATGTCAGAGGGGGGAACTCCACCCAGTTGCTGAAGAGCACAGAGAAGTGGGAGGAGGCGGGAGAAGAGGAGGAGAGAGAAAGGAGGGGCCTGCCTCGCCCCCTACTCCCCGCAATCCACTCTCATTGGCTAAAGGCTTCCTGGCCCCATCCTACAGCCCGCCTTCGGGCGACGCTTAAAGTGTGCGGAGCAGGTGTCTCCAGTGGGGGACGAACTTTGCCAGAGTTAGTGCAGTTCACTGCACCCATTCATTGCCCGCAAGCGTCTATCCTTCGGTCCCGCCTGCAGTCTTCGGGAAGGGGACCCAGAGACTACAGCTGCCACTCGCGGACACTGGGGCCAGAGGAGGGCCGGAGAGCGCCGCTGACCCTCGTGGACTGGGGAGGTGACGGCGGCTGCGTCCATGCAGCTGTGTGCCAGTGCATGGGGGCTGCGCCTGGGCCGCGGAGTGGGGAGCGGCCACCGCCTGGCTCGGGGCGCGGGCTTGAGTTGGGCGCCGCAGCGCCGGGACAGCAGCAACGGCGGCGGTGGCGGGGACCGCGGCGCGGCTGGGGCCTCCCGCCTCCTGGAGCGCCTCCTGCCCAGACACGATGACTTCGCTCGGAGACACATCGGCCCGGGAGACAAAGACCGGAGGGAGATGCTGCAGGCGCTGGGGCTGGCGGTAAGGCCCTCCACCCTTCACCTTGCCGGGGCTCAGCCCGCTGGGCCTCCGGATTCCCACCTTGCCTTCCTCCTGCGTCTCGGGCCCCAGCTTGGAAGCGAGCTCGCTCTTAATCTTGGTGCCTTCTCCTCCTCCCTTAACTTTTCTGCTGTTCCCACTCTTCAAAAGTGCATTTAAAAAATGTCCCCAACCCTAGACGAACCCTAATTTTGCAGGAAAAGGAGGAAGAACCCCCTTCTTAGAGTGCATTACTCTCGTCAGCTTCAGTTGCAGACTAAAATCGAACCCGGAGTGGCGGATTTACCACCCGACTCCATCATTTTTTTTCTTCCAAAAGATTTCTGTAGCCTGAAGTTCCCCTTTAAAAGAAATCCTAATTAGAAAATTTTGATGAGCCTTTGACGATGAAAAATACAGAGGTAGCCCTCTTAACTCAGGCATTATAACTCTGCTTGTCGTGCTCACCAACTTGTGTTTTGTTTTGTTGTTGTTGTTGTTTTAATTTTAGAGCATAGATGAACTCATCGAGAAGACGGTCCCCGCCAGCATCCGCTTGAAAAGACCCTTGAAAATGGAAGACCCTGTCTGTAAGTGGCCGGGAGGACTCCCTGGGGCTCGGCCTCTTCTGATTTATTTGCCTCCTATAATCCCTGATGGTCTGCTTTGGGGTAGGATTGGTCAGAACTGAAAATAAGCAGTGCTTACGAGCCCCCAAACGGTGGGATTTTACTTCCCAGGAAGAATCTATGCATCCCCTTTCGTGGTCTTTATCCCCGGCCTGCGGAGGCAGGTACCTACAAACTTCCCCAAGGAAGGCCATGCCAAACACGTGTGGCTGACTCTCCGTTTCATTTACCTCCCCACCGGAAGGTCTTTGAGGTCTTTTGAGCTGGGAATGCCATTATCTCTATAGATCAGGAAAAAGGAATCACCTAGGTCGTGCATTCATTCGGAAGGACATTTAAGACTTCTCAAAGTTCTTTGCACCAGAGTTTCAAACTGTTCTGTTCCACACTTGCACCCCACCACACACACGCACACAAGCACTCACGCACAGGCACACATGCGCGCGCGCGCGCACACACACACTCCTACTGAAAGGCAGTAGTGCT